TCTTCCGGTGGATCAACTGACCAGATGCTTGGGACTGCCCTATTGCCCAGCTTTTGACTGGCATTTCAGCCTCCCCAGTCCCTGATGCCTACGTCCAACGGTCAGCATGAAGAAGCTACAGAAGACGGATCTCCGCCCAAATCCCCCCTAACAGGCTGAAATGCTAAGTCAAAAGTGGCTCCCTGACATTAGCTATTATCTTGAGCATCTGCTTAGCTGCTGACCATACTAAATTGATAAGAGATGGTTTAGTCAGTCCCCCTGGTTCACCACCCTCGTTTCCTGTTTCCTCCCTCATGGGCCCCCTAATCATAATTCTCCTGATTCTACTAGTTGGGCCTTGTATTCTAAATTGGCTGATCCAGTTCATAAAAGACCGGTTCTCTTTCGCACAAGCGTTGGTGTTGACCCAGCAATATCATCAGCTCAAACAACAGGAGACAAAAGTTAACTCTTCCTAAGCCCGAGAATGGAAGATTCCATTCTAAGTTAAAAGAAAATGGGGGAATGAAAGACCCCAGCCTCACACTAAGTTAAACATAGCTAATGCCATTTTGTGAGACACCACTGTTTTGTAAAACTCTGAAGGCCAGATGAGAAACTGGAAAATTACTGAGAAATCCTAGCTGTGTCACCCACTTGGGATATCTGTGGTCAGGCTGCCCCAGTCATACTAAAAACAGTTTGTGTTAATCACTCTCATAGATATCTGTGAGACTGTTTCAGCTAAGATAGGGAAAAACAAAATAACAGGTGGCGGGCCACGTCAAGGGGTCATCCTACCCCCCTTGACCACCCAGCTCCTGGAATCTTGGTGCCCCTGCCAAACTTTGACGCAAATTGTGATCTTGTGTAAACGTACCAATCAGCCCCCTGTAACCATGCCCTCTCGTTTCTGTACCAGTGCTTCTGCCTCTAAAACCCTATAAAAACCCCAGCTTCCCATCTAGGGGGCGCGGAAGTCTTCCAAAAGACTTTTTGCCCCGGGTACCTGTGTATCAAAATAAAAGCCTCTTGCTGTTTGCATCCGAATGGCCTCGTTGATCCTTGGGAGGGGGTCTCTCTGACGGAAGATACCCTCCGGGGATCTTTCAATTTTTATTTTTTTGTCACAACTTAACATTATACTGCCATCTAAAGAAAGATTATTTTAAATCTGTACATCAGACCCAGAGCATTTGAATTCTAATAGAGTATCCAACACAGATATGAATAAAAACGAATCACAGAGAAAGCAAAGGCAGAAAAATTTTGGTTGAAGTGAAAGATACACATTTATAAAAGTAAGGAAATGAAAAACCGAGGGTGTGACAAGAAAGGTCACAAAAGAACAAAGTAAACATGAAAAATATGTTGTCAAGAAACAGCATAAAATGAGAGATCAGTCCAGCATCTTTAGGACCATCAGTTCTCACATGCCTCACATATGCAGCTGGGCCTCATGCACATCTGTGTTCTCTGCGACACTTCACTGGCACAAAGTCAACTCTTTGAATATGCACAGACATTTTCTAAGAAACTTATAAATTCCACTTGAGTAACAAATGATGCTGGAAATCTCATATATATTTCACATTAAGATCTAAGATTTTTTTGTGTTTTTTTCTAAATAAGTATGAAAACTTTAATACAGAGTTTATTTTATATCCCAGCTGTAGCCCCTTCCCTCATTCCCTTACAATCCCATGCTTCCTCCCACATCTCCTCCCTGCCCCTCTCTAAATCCACTGATAGGGGAGGTTTTCCTCCCCTTCCATCTGACACTAGTGTGGTAAGTGGTGTTTAATATTTACTGTTGGTTTATTTTTCAGTAATACTGCTGTTAATCCTGAACAGTTGTATACCCAAATCACCACACTGAGACTGAGTTTATTTAGTTAACCTAGAACACAATACTGGGCAATAGTTACTCCATCCTAAACCTCCAAGCCTTCATAGTTTCCTAACATTTAGATTTCCTACATTATACTTGCTTTTAGTGACATATTGGTCCAGTCCATCTCTCCACATCATTCCAAGATCTCTCTTCCAGCTCTGCTCTGCTAGCCTTCTCTTGCCTTTTCTCCTCCAGCCTTTTCCTGTCTTCCGGCTCCTCCCCTCTCCACCTACTTCGTTTCCCTGCTCAACATTGTGGCTAGTTGCTTTATTTGGAAGTTTACACCAAGTTGAGACAGGATGCTTAGAAAAAGTTTCACAATGCAATGTCTGGATTGAAACCAGAGAGTGGGGAGGGAGAAATCATCATTTGAATGAACAAGGGTAAGGTGTATACATTTCAAAAGAACATTTTACCAACACACTAGTTTATCAGGTCTCATCAGGACTGGCCACAATGACCTCCTCTGTGGCCTCGCAAGATGATCAATCTTCACTTAGAAAGACAAACAGGATGGACATTGGAAGTAGGAGAAAACAAGAAACAAGACATGAGTCTACCATAGAGGGCCTCTGAAAGACTCTACCTATCAGTGTATCAAAGCAGATACTGAGATTCGTAACCAAATCTTGGACAGAGTGCAGGGAATCATATGTAAAAATAGAGAATTATTTTAATGCTAATTAAATCAAAAGCTAAATATGGCAATAATTCTCAGTCCTCTTTCATATCCAGTTACAGATTTGGAATTTTATCCAATGAATCCTACACATGATTTGACATAAGTATTGACTTTTATCAAACAAATTCTGCTCAAGGTAACTCATGAAAATTATATATCATTGTTTATCGTTTTGTCATGGCTTATGACTGACTCACATTTCTTAAAAACATTCATTTATCCTGAATTCTATGAAATGTTAACCTTCGTGTTTCCTGTTTTAAGTATTATTATTATTGGTTAACAGGTCCATCAGTTGGTGAATATATCTACCACCTGTTTGTACCAATATCATAATTTTTAAATATTTTTATTTTAATTTTTATTAATTACACTTATTCACTTTGTATTCCCCCATAAACTCCTCCCTCCTCCCCTCCCAATCCCACCTTTCCTCCCCCTTCTCCACTCATGCCCCTCCCCAAGTCCACTGATAGGGGAGGTCTTCCTCTTCTTCTTTCTGATCCTAGTCTACTAGGTCTCATCAGGAGTGGCTGCATTGTCTTCCTCTGTGGTCTGGTAAGGCTGCTTGCTCCCCCATCAGGGTGAGGTGATCAAAGAGCAGGCCAATCAGTTCATGTCAGAGGCAGTCCCTCTACCCATTACTATGGAACCCACTTAGACACTGAACTGCCCTGGGCTACATCTGTGCAGGGGTTCTAGGTTATCTCCATGCATGGTCCTTGGTTGGAGTATGAGACTCTGGAAAGACCCCTGTGCTTAGACTTTTTGGTTCTGTTGCTCTCCTTGTGGAGCTCCTATCCTCTCCAGATCTTACTATTTCCCACTCTGGCTAAAATGCTCAATCCCCATCTCATCCGGAAAGGCAAAGAGGATGGACATCAGAAGAAGAAGAAAGTAGGAAACAAGTTAAGAGCCTCCCACAGAGGGCCTCTGAAAGGCTCTGCCCTGCAGACTATCAAAGCAGATGCTGAGACTTACGGCCAACTGTTGGGCAGAATGTATGGAATCTTTTGAAAGAAGTGGGAAATATACTTTTAAGAGGTCCCTCAGTTGGTGGATGTATCTACCCCATTTGTTCCAAAGTCATATATATTTTTTTTCTGTTTCTGGTTAAATAATTAATTTGGTAGTGGCAATAAGACAAACCTGTTTTCTCTTTTTATTAGATATATTTCCTTAGATAGTTAAGTTGCCAAAAACATTTTACACTTAAAGTCTAGGTATGGTGGTATATGTTTATTATTTTAGCTGCTCAGGGATCTAAGGCAGGAAAATTTATAGTTTGAAGCTAGTCTGGGCAATTTTTCAAGACCTTATTCAAAATAAAATTATTTTAAAAGTCAACAGTATCGTAGTTATATGCCAGTGGCTTAGAATGTACAAGATAATGCTTTGACCATTAGTACCATTATTCACCATGAAAAGGCTTCCTCTTCTCTAACCTTCTTCCCTCTGTCCTTCACTGAGCTCACACCCACCTCCCCCAATACTTTGCCATTTTTTTCACTACTTCTTTGCAATGACAAATCCCTTTCTTGTCTAACCCTCTGTGGCAGCTGCTCTTGCATCGACTCCAAGTGGTATGACACATCCGTAAGATTCTTTTGATTTAAAAGAAGTAATTAATTAGCTAGCTAACTGACTGACTAACACTTTCTGCTTTTAATGAATCACATGACATTCTCTGCCTCTTTGTGAAGTCCTTCCTAGTGTTCCTTCTGAATTTTTAGTTCTTATCCCCATTATTGTCTTGTCATGTGACACTAATCTAGGATTGTATTTGTAATAGCTTCTTGAAAGCCGAGAACCAATACCTTTGCTCATCATAGTGTTTGCTGTAAAACAATAACCAAGTAATTCTTTCCCATTGTAGGCCCCACTGAAAACAAAATGTCTGAAGTAATTACATGAACAAATGGGTCCATGAAGGAATATAAATCGCTCAAGATAAGAAAGTAGGCATGTGATAGGACACATGTATGGATTTCCTTCCAATGTGTCTGCTTTTCTGTCAAACAAAATATTAGTGAAACAGAGAAAAAAAAATCTGAGAAGAGTCAAAGCATCAAGTGCATTGAATAAATGTGTCATTAATAAGAAACAACTGTAATGCCAAAGTTCATGCTAGAGATATGTTTATTTAAAATGAACCTGAATGAACAAATCCTCAGAAAATAATGAGAAGAGAAATATAGAAAAATGAGTAGTACCAGAAGTGATTCAAGCATTTATGTAAGAGTTAAAATGCCTGCTCTTTCTTGTAGTACAGTTGAAAGGTCAAAGGTCAAGGTTAATTTGTCATCAAAAAAATCATTTGTTTCCAGGTAGATTATGATGCTGAGTCCTGGAGTGGCAAATATTCATTGATCAGTTCTAGATGTTGGAGAAGCCATTTGATGTCCAGAAGGTAGAAAAACCATCATGAGACAACCGGGATGTTTAGAAAGCTGATCCGCAAAAGCCAGAGCTAAAGCCTGGCTGATAGTAAGACGACTGGATACTCTTGGAAGAAAAGTACCCGGGGCGGTAGAAGCCGGATCCACAGCCCACAGAGCGAATGCCAGAGTTTCCAAACCCAAAAGATCCAAAACCCGAGTTGCCATATCCAAAAGATCCGGTAAAGCCTCCTTGGCAAGGGCTGGAGAAGTACTGCTTGGGCCGGAAACAGGATGTCTGGAACGACCGGGTCCCCACGCAGGGTGAGTGGCTCTCAAGTGGCTCACCGAAGGTCTCCTGCTGTCCATTGTAGAAAGAGGATCCCAGCTGGAAGTTCTTTGGAGAATAGACTACATTGTTGGTGGGGTAGAAAGAGTTGTAGCTGGAGACTGGCTGCCTCAAGAAACCTCCAAAGGACTGTGAGGAGAAGTTTCCGGAGTTGCAGACGTAAGACATGTTGTCAGGAGTTCTGGTTTCAGTTGCGTTGCAGTGATGAATCTGCGAGTGTGAGTACCACCACTGTCTAGCCTGGGTCCTTATATACCAGAGAGATGGGTGTAGTAGCCTGTGTCCATTTTAACAAGAATGCCTAATTAGGCTCCAGTAAAAACGAAATACTTTAACCTTCAAAGGACTTTTTATGAATGCGCACTTCTAAATGAAGGAATTTCATTAGTTTTCAAAGCAATTATTCATGAAGTAAAAATGCAATTTCTCAGTATCTATATTGGGTCGAATGAAAGCCACCATAACCAAATCTTTAAGATAAACGCTTTATTCACTCCAGCCTTAAAAATCTGATCAAATGGATGAAGTAGCAATAATCCTGCAGAGTCCAACACCACAGAAGTTAGTATTCTAGTATTCTGGAAAGAAAATCATGATCCAAGTTTAGAAGCTTGATTGAAAACAGAAAAATAAATCCCCATTTTTATTTTTTTTTCTCCAAATGTTGTGGGTTTTATGAACAGAAAAGATACAATACTAATCCTTGAGAGGAAAGAAATTTAAGTGCTATGTTTACGACACAACTTGTCTGCACAGGACTGTGTGAGGCTGAGAGGACCAAAGTTTGTATGAGTGCCTACAACCTTACATTGTGAAATATTTAAGTCACTGAACCCTTTGTTGTCTTGCCTTTCTCTTTTCTTCTTTCTCTTTTCTGATCTTTCCTTCTGTGTAACACATTCAGGGCCTCAGGTATGCTCTACTACATTGGTTATGCTGCCCTCGGATTTTTTGAATTAGAATCTGGTGTCCCCATACATTCATTGCTTCACATCAGGAGTCATGAGTCAAACTTAACAAGCTTCATTATCAAAATAAAATATTTTAATCTTCATAAAATGTATCTCTTCTCCCCTTGGTGGTACTGTTGTCACTCATAAGAAAGTAGCAAGTCCTGAACATTATTCTACTGCTATACAAGTTTTCCTTTCATTTGATGGAATTGTCATTACATAAAGTTTTACAACAATTAAGAAATGTGAAGAGTGTCTGTCTCATGTAGATGTCACAGAAGGATTTAGACTTTTAAGAATTGATGGTTATAAATGACCCTTATAAATTGACATATGGACATATGGATAGGGAAGGATATGAAATGGGGTGGGAATGTGAATTGGTGAAGAAATTACTCTTGGTTCTCTAAGGCTGTATATCTATCAATTAACTCAAATATTTTTTATTATAGTTTTTTAAAAAAATTTAATATTAGTTACAGTTTATTAACTTTGGATCCCAGTTGTATCCCACTCCCTCATTCCCTCCCAATTCCACCCTCCCTCCCTAATCTCCTCCCTGCCCCTTTCCAAGTCCACTGATAGGGGAGAACCTCCTCCCCTTTCATCTGACCCTGGTTTATCAGGTATCTTCAGGACTGGCTGCAAAGTCCTCATAGAAAACTAAGTGTTGGGATTTTTCTGTGCTCTTTCATAAGGCCCAGCATGAAGATGATTTGCTGGTATAGGAAATTGCTTAAATAAACTCATAGAATTGGAAAAAAAAATCTTGTGTCATCCATTCTCAGCATAAATTATACATTGAAAATGAACTGGGACTAATTTCAAGAAGAATTATTGTTACTTGGTCTAAATTTTAAGGAAAAACCAAAAATGAGCTGTTCTTTTGGGGTTTTGAGAATACTGAATCAGGTTGCTGTAACTAGAATTCCAATCTGATAAAAAAAAAAAAAAGAACAACAAAACACACAAAAAAATAACTGTGGTGTTTGCTAAATTTTCCTCAATCTGTAAACTTTATGAGTCTGAATATCTTAAGCTAGCAAAAGAAAGAAAGAAAATGATGCTCTTTCACCAAAAAAAAAAAAAAAAAGTTTGTTCTGAAGCAGAAGGAAATGTTCTTTAATATGAAACAAATCAACCAGCACTGAAACCACACCAGGACAACCCTCTGCACTTTCCCCTTCTCCACCTCCAGACATCAGTCTTCATTAGATTCCTACACTGACCTGGAACACGAGCCGTGGAAATCAAGGAAATATGACCCTCACTTTGGGCATTTTGCAATACTTGTCAGAAGCACCTGAAAACAATTTAAGTCAAAGTGATATATGCTCCCTTCACACTGAGAAAGCACCTCCTGGTGATGGCTCCTTTGGCCTGACACCTCAAGGCAATTACTTTGTACGCTTCCTTTAAAACTAGGACCCTTACCAGGTTACGGAGACTCTTTTCAGTGAGAACAATGATCCTGATTAGAGGTAGGAATATATTGGATATTATTATCTCAAGTTTTGTTCCTTTTAATGAATTTTAGCATCTAAGATTAATAATCTTTAGAATTCAAGCTAGCCCAGTGCATAAAGCATTTAGCTCACAGCATAGTAAACCACCCCACCCCACCCACCCATACACACACATGCAATAGAAGTCAAGGTGGATATTTAATATCTGAATTCCATTCTTAGGAGATATAATAATCTCTCATGTATTTCTAAAGACATTCAAACTGTGGACCACGTTTTTAAAAAGTCCTCATACATCTTGAGTATCAGTGTTGGGACGACACTGTTCATCGTGGAAGCTTGCCATTTTGAGGCAGCAATCAGTGAGTGTTTTTGTTTAAAAGAAATGACGATGAGTGGATCAGCGAGCAACTTTGCTAGCCAGATGGCAACAATTTTTGGACAGATTGTGCAACGGGTATCAATTATTTTTAATTAAGCTAGCTTCCCTCAGCCCAGACACTCTACCTCCAAAGCAGTTTTCTGAGTGATGTGCAGGGTGACCTTTGCTGAGGGAGGATGAATAATAGCTTTGAAGATTGAACACTATTACCCGAATTCCAGGGCCACAGACATCACTGCTCTATCCAGTTGTGAAACCACACAAAAAGTAAGTATGCATGACTATGATGTTATTTTCGATTCAATTAAAGACGCAGGCAACCTCTGTTCCTACGCCATGAGGATGACGCATGCAAGGACAGGGATATATAAGTGCTCTGTGTCCGAGAAGGGACATTCAAACTCTGAACATCCTCCTCATCTCATCCACAAGTCCCATCTTCTCTCAGCATGTCCTGCAACAGCTGCTCTGGAAACCTCACCCCGTCCTTTGGGGGTCAGCTGCAATACCCCATCTCTTCCTGTGGTTCCTCCTACCCCAACAATGTCTTCTACAGCACTGACCTCCAGACTCCCATCACCCACCAGCTGGGCTGCTCTCTCCAGAGCGGGTGTCAGGAAACCTGCGAGCCCATCGGCTGCCAGACCTCTTACGTGGTGTCCAGCCCCTGCCAGAGGCCTTGCTACCGCCAGAGGATTCCAGTGTCCTGCAGCCCCTGCCAGTCAGCTTTCTCGGGATCTCTGGGCTTTGGTTCCAGGGGCTTCCAGTCTTTTGGTTGTGGCTACCCAACCGTGGGCTTTGGATCCCGTGGTGGTTTCCAGTCAGTGGGATGTGGTACTCGCACTTTCTCATCCCTAAATTGTGGATCCAGCTTTTACCGCCCAACCTGCTTCTCTTCTAAAAGCTGCCAGTCTGTTTCTTACCAGCCAACCTATGGGACTGGCTTCTTCTGATCTTATTCTGGCGAAATTAGAAATGTAAAAGGTGCCTACTACCTACTGTGTTAAGAGCCACACTGTCTTTTCATCTCCTATATTAATTAGCCTAGAAATTTGACTTCTACTCACTCTTATGAGTTCCCATGATTGGAAAATATATTTAATTGGAGAAGGATGCTTAATTGTTTTCTTATCATTTTCTAGGCATGCAAAACTCCAGCAAAATTTTTCTTCACATATCTCTTAGTAATTACCCAGACTGTCAATGTCTTGACTTTTACAAAGGGGAGGGTTGAAAATTTAAATAAATGTATGCACTGAACATCCATATGTCTGTGAATTCCATTATTATTACTTTCATTTCCTTGTCTTCAACACTACTTCAAAATATCTCTGAGTTTTTCTGTTTCTTGTGCTTGCCATGTTAATTTTAAAGAGCAAAGTCATTCTTTTGTATTTGTAGAAACTTTTCAACTTTTCTGATCACTCCATATGTTAATACTTTTTCACACAATGAATTGAAAGGAACACATTATTAGAATGACAAACTTACACTGATTTTCTGCTGTGTACAGAATTATAAAACATATTTTGTAAAAAATACTGGTAGTTCAGAGGAAATATTAGGTAAATTGCCATATAATGTTGGAATAGAGATACTTCTTATAAAATACATTCTAAATATATGCAAAATTGCAGATAAGTAAGAAGTTACAGATCATGAGTCAAGTGGAAATGGGATTCAGTGCCCCAATCTTCACTGCAGGGTAAATAATATTTAAATGAAATCTCTAGCACATGCGCCAGTTGCTAACAAGTAGAGCTGGCATTGTTCATCTTTTAATGGTATATTTTGGTGATGTCCCAGTTTGGTCCTTTGTTTCTGGAGTGTGATGAAAAGCATTAAAAATAAACTGCTTAAAAACCACGTAAACACTATTCAGTTTCAGGTCTGACCTGGTGTAGGGGTGGGAAAATGTTTGAATAATGGACTGTGTCATGAGACGTCATCGCTTAATTCCAGGGATCATTATCAAAGTTGGCAATCATCTACCCTCAGGCTCACCAGGCGCTAGTTTTATTCCAGTTACGTGTCAGCATCCAGTTTCATTTGTTAAATGTCTCACAATTTTCCTTTGATCTATAATCAACAGTAACTTTGTCACCATATGAAATGACTGGCACAGGGAACTACCAGCTTACATTTGCCATGGTTCATCTAGTGTGGTGGAAGTTTTAAGTAAAGCAAACTCTTAGTTAAATATGAAACTAGAGAAGTCTTCCATGAAAGAAAAAGCAAAAGCAAAACCAAGCCAAACAACAACCAAAAAACAAAAATAAAAAAAAACCTCACCTCATCTAACAAAATAGACTACTTTTAATTCAAAGACAGCACACAGAAGAATCCCCATGAAAGAATTTATTTTTTATTATTATACACAAGACAATCTGTACCGTAAAAAGGATGACCTGCCTGGATAGTCTTCCTTTGTGGTCTGGCAAGACCACATATACAGGGGCAAGTGATCAAAGAGCAGGCAATCAAGTTCATGACAGAGGCAGCGCCTGTTCTCCTTACTCGAGAACCCATATAGAAACTGAGATGCCAATTGATTACATCTGATCAGGGGGTCTAGGTCCTCTCCAGGCATGGTCTTCGGTTCATGCATCAGTCTCTGCAGGACCCACTGGGCTCAGATTTTTTAGCTTTGTATGTTGGTCTCCTTGTGGAGCTCCTGTCCCTTCCATGTCCTTCTATCCGCACCCCCAACTCTTCCATAAGACTCCTTGCTACTGCCCAAAGTTTGACTGTGAGTCTCAGCATCTGCTTCCATCCCCTGTTGGGTGGAGCCTTCCAGAGGACCCTCTATAATAAGCTCTCATCTTGTTTCCTCTCTTTCATCACTTCTGGTGTCTATCCTGTTTGCCATTCTAAATTAGATTTAAACATCCTCCCTAGGGTCCTCCTGAGTGTTTAGCCTCTTTAAGTCTGTAGATTTTAGTGTGGCTACCCTATATTGCATGGCTAATATCTGCTTATAAGTGAGTGTATACCATGCCTGTCTTTCTGTTTCTGGTCTGCCTCACTCAGGATGATCTTTCTAGCTCCATCCATTTGCCTGCAAATCCAGGCAGTCTTGATGAGAAGTGATAATGGGTAGATGGCAGAGGAGGAGAACTCCCCCGTTCAGCAGACTAGGGGAAGGGGAGAAGGGGGAGAAGAGAAGGGTGGGACTTGGGGAGTTGATGGAGGGGGCTTCAATAAGGATATATAATGAATAAATTGTGAAAAAATGAAAGTAAAAAATTAAAATGTAAAAAGATTACCGACATGCAGACTGGTCTTTTTAAATGTTCCCTCACTTTCTCACTCAGTGTGAGCTCCATAGCCACACACTGCATGATACAGTAATACCCACTAACTACCAGTAGGTGGAGGTAGTGGGAACGTTAGGTGTGCATGAAGTATGGGCTTAAATTTGTTCTGTGTCTGAACACAAAAAGAATAATCTATTTTTGTATAGAATGTTTTCCCTATTTTGGGATTTTTGTTTTTCCATATGAAGTTTGGAATTGTTCTTTGAAGGTCTGTGAAAAATTGTGTTGGTACTTTGATGAGGATTGCACTGAATCTGTAGTTTGCCTTTGGTAAGATGGCCATTTTCACTGTTAATCTTATAGATCCATGAGCATGGGAGATCTTTCCATCTTCTGGTATCTTCTTCAATTTCTTTCTTCAAAGACTTGATGTTCTTGTCATACAGGTCTTTGACTTCCTTGGTTAGTTACACCAAGATACTTTATACTATTTGTGGCTATTGTAAAGGATGTGGCTTCCCTAATTAATATCTCAGCCCATTTGTCATTTGTATACAGGAGGACTACCTTTTTTTAAATTAACTTTGTATCCAGCCACCTTGCTGAAGGAGTTTATCAGCTGCAGGAGTTCTCCAGTGGAATATTGGATCACTTATGTTTTCTATCTCAAATAGCAATACTTGAACTTCTTTCTTTCTGATTTGTATCTCCTTGATCTCCTTTAGTTGTCTTATTGCTCTGGCTGGAACTTCTAGTACAGTGAAGGGATAGAGAGAGAGTGGACAACCCTGTCTTGTTCCTGATTTTAGTGGGAGTGATTTGAGTTTCTCTCTATTTAGTGTGATGTTGGCTATCAGCTTTCTGTATATAGCTTTTATTATGTTTAGGTATGGGCTTGTATCCCTGATCTCTCCAAGACTTTTATCATGAAAGGGTGTTATTTTGTCAAAGGATTTTTCTGCATCTAGTAAGATGATCATGCTTCTTTTTTCTTTCAGCTTGTTCATATTGTGGATTACAATGATGGGTTTTCTTATGTTAAACCATCCCTGCATCTCTGGGATGAAGCCTACTTGATCATGGTGAATGATACATTTGATGTGTTCTTGAATTTGGTTTGCAAGTATCTTATTGAATATTTTTGCAACAATATTCATAAGGGAGATTTGTCTGAACTTTTCTTTCTTTGTTGAGTATTTATGTGGTTTAGGTCAGAGTGACTGTTCTTTCAGCTTCTACTTTGTGGAATAGTTTAATGAGTATTGGTATTAGCTCTTTATTGAAGTTCTGGTGGAATTCTGGAGTGAAACCATCTGGCCCTGTGCTTTTAATTTTATTTATTTTTATTTTTGGTTTGGAGACTTTTGATGATTACTTCTATTTCCTTAGGGGATATAGAATTATTTAATTTGTTTATCTGATCTTGATTCAACTATCAATAAAATTGATCACTTCATTTAGATTTTCCAGTGTTGTGGCATATAGGCTTTTGAAGTAGGGCCTAATGATTGTTTGGATTTCCTCACTGTCTATCATTTTTTTCCCACATTTTCATAACTGATTTTGTTGATTCAGATGGTGTCTCTCTGCCTTTTAGTTAGTTTGACAAAGGGTTTGTCTATGTTGTTGATTTTTCTAAAAAGACATAAAACAAAACAAAACAACAACAAAAAATGGCTATTGGTTTTTTGATTCTTTGAATTGTTCTTTGTTTCTAATTTATTGATTTCAACTGTAAGTTTGATTATTTTCAGCCCCCTACTCCTCTTGGGTGTGTCTGTTTCTTTTTTATTTCTATCTTTCAGGTTTGCCATAAAGTTGCTTGTATGAGATGTCTCCAATTTATTTATGAAGGCTTAGTGCTATGAACTTTCCTTTTTTGATTTATTTTAAAATTAGTTACAGTTTATTAACTCTGTATCCTAGCTGTAACCTGATCCCTTATTGCCTCCCAATCCCACCTTCCCTCATCTCCTCCCTGCCCCTTTCCAAGTCCATAGTTAGGGGAGGTCTCCTCCCCTTTCAATTGACCCTAGCTTATCAAGTTTCTTCAGGACTGGCTGCAAAGTCCACCTGCATTAATTGTGTCCCAAAAGTTCGGGTATGTGGTGCCTTCATTTTAATTAAATTCTAGGAAGTCTTTAATTTCTTTACTTCTTCCCTAACCCAGCTGCTGTTGAGTAGAAAGTTGTTTAGTTTCCATGTGTGTAGGCTTTTTGTTATTGCTGTTGTTGTTGTTGTTGAGGTCCAGCTTTAGTCTGTGGTGGTCTGATAGGATACAATGGATAAGTTCAATCTTCTTTCTTATTTGAGGCTTGCTTTTTGACAGACTCTGTAGTCAATTTTGGAGAAGGTTCTCTGAGGTGCTGAGAAGAAGGTATACTCTTTTGTGTTCAGGTGAAAATTTCTGTAGATGTCTCTTAGGTCCATTTGATTCATGACATCTAGGAGTGTCATTATTTCTCTGTTTAGTTTCTGTTTTATTGACCTGTTCTTTGGTGAGAGTGGAGTTTTGAGTTTCCCACTATTAATGTGTGGGGATTGATGTGTGGTTTAAGCTTTATTAATGCTCTGAAGTTAGTGAGCTGAGACAATGTGCTCAGACAATGTGCTTGCTGGGTGACACATTTTAGAGAACCTGTGAGTTCAGAGATCTTGCTGGTCTCCTTAGAGAGATGGGTTGAGCTTTGGAGCAG